CGCGCGTGTGTGAGAGAGTGTGCGTGCGTGCGAGTGTGTGTGCTGCGTGCGTGCGTGCGCGCGCGTGTGTGAGAGAGTGTGCGTGCGTATGTGTGTGTGTGCTGTGTGCGTGCGTGCGCGCGCGTGTGTGAGAGAGTGTGCGTGCGTGCGTGCGTGCGTGCATGCGTGCGTGCGTGCGTGTGTCTGTGTGCGCGCGTGTACGTGTGTGTGAGAGAGAGAGAGTGTGTGTGCACGTGCGTGCATGCGTGCGTTCGTGCGTGTGTGCGTGCGTGTGTCTGTGTGCGCGCAGATAGCCTTTGAGTAGGGTACAGTATCGGCTCACTTGATGCCCTATGGCAGCAGATGTTACTAACGATTGCGATCAGGGTAGCTTGCCGTATCTGTGCATATTTGATATCAAAACATCGTGCAAATCTACCTAACACTGAGAATGTACCATACGCGGTCGGTTGTGTTCCGATGTTTTCCAATATTTGTAACATATGTTCGAGAAATATCAAAACGTTTGGAAGTAATAACCGTCGTTCAAAATAGAAATGCAAATAACCATCGTATGCGTACTTATAGTATCATTATAATATATCATCGTATATCATTATATTCTATCATCGTATATCATTATATTATATCATCGTATATCATTACACATTGACGTGACAGCTTTTATCAAATATATTTCATTTGTTATATTACGGTCTATAGAAAATCTATCCAGCGAATAACTTACCAAGACCTGCGAGTTATTAATTGCAAATATATACTGATAAATGTGTAGAGATGATAGATAGATTAGGTGTGCCATTGATTTCATACCATCCATTCGTAATGAGTAATAAAATAACAGCGTTAATGATGTAAATTATTAGCTGCGCCATGTATAGGTATCAAAAGAACTTTGTTCGCTTTGCTGCTGATTGTTCTTTGGCTCGAGATCAATGTCGATGACTTATTTATGACGTTGTTCATTTTAAAACACTGCTGGCGTACAATGCCAAGCGCTGACATTCCAAGCTGCGATACCCTCAAACCTTGTTATTAACATCCACATCATTGAAAATTTACACGCGCATGCGTACTACGCGAACGTGTGCGTATAATGCGTTAATAGAAATTTGAGTTGAATGTGGACGCGAGAGAGCGAACGAAGCTGAACGTTAGTTGATCGTCGCGTGTTTGTAGGCGCGCACGGCTCCCATGAGGACATCCTCTGCTGTCTCTCCGAATCTGCTCTCTGTGACGCCGTAGTTGGCCTCATAGGTGACGGTCCTGCCTGCGATCATCACGTTAAACACGGCCAGGTACACGCCCTGCCTTACCTCCCTACGCTTGTCGACGGAAACCTGGAGGGGAAGTAGAGAGCGGGGTTGCTGTACAAAGCACACGACTGCAATTTTAATTCGTTCATAAATAGATAATGCAATCATTCGTCTGTTCGTTCGTTCGTTCTTTCGTTCGTTCGTTCGTTTGTTGAATCAGCAGATGTTTTAATTATTGAATTAATTAAATTAACAGTTACTTATTCATATTATGCAATTGTGTGTGTGTGCGTGCGTGCGTGCGTGCGTGAGTGCGTGCGTGCGTGCGTGCGTGAGTGTGTGTTGTAGTTTGCTAACAATTACAATATCCCTACAAAGTATTACAAGGACCAAATACTAATAAGGACCAATACAAAACAGAATAAATCAATCCGTCGCTGAATCTATACATCTCTAGTAAGTGCAACATGTTTACGACAAATTCCTCAACTGACAAAAAGGTGTACTATAAAGTGAAAGAAATTAAATTGATTTTTTATTTAAAAAATACTTAACACAACAATTGTTTTCACTCAAATGTTCAATTTTTGTTTTAATTGTTGTTTCAAATGTTTAAATCACTCAATCGTTATCACTCTCTTCTTGTTTCAGTTAACAAGCTTACCTTGTTAAACCGGACGACGAGTTCCGATGGGTTGATGTTCATAAGCCAGCTCTCTGTTTTCGTCACGTTCTCATACGTCTTCTGTGCCTTCACGAACATCGGACAATCTGCCAAGAACATCAGAACATCAATCTCTATGGACTTGGTCACAGCGTCTCAGATACTATCGTTAAGCCCTTGAAATTAAAGAATAATCAGCTGGATAAATGCCGAGAGGGAGGGCGAGAGAGAGAGTGTGAGAGAGAGGAGAGAGAGAGAGTGTGTGAGAGAGAGAGGAGAGAGAGGCAGAGAGAGGGGGCGAGAGAGTGTGTGAGAGAGAAAGAGAGATAGAGAGACAGAGAGGGGGACAGAGAGAGAGAGAGAGAAAAAGAGAGAGAGAGAGAGAGAGAGAGAGAGAGAGAGAGAGTGGGGGATAGAGAGAGGGTACGTGGGAGACACGGATATGTGGTCACTGGCTGTATACATACGCTGGTCCAAGTCGATGGCGATGACCTCCTTCTCGCACGGACAGTGGCGTGTGAAGTACAGACATGCCAGCTTCCTCTCCTCCCCCTCCTGCAGGAGCGTCCCACAGAATGGAGCTAGATCCGGGGTCCTGGGGCTTGTCGACCGAGCGTAGCGCCCCCTGCCGGCAGCTGGTCGCGAGATGGGACGAGAGCGTGAGTCGTGGTCAGCTGTCCATCCTGTGCAGCCATGTGAAGATTGATTGTACAAATACGTACACGCGGGCACGCACGCACGCGCACGCACGCGCACACAGGTATATCACGATGTTAGTACGGATACTTACAAGCCCACTCGCACGCAAGCACGCACGCTCGCACGCACACACGCACGCACACACGCACGCACGCACGCACACACAGGTATAACACAATGTTAGTACAGATACCTACACGCCCACTCGCACGCACGCAACCTGGTACGTTACTGGTGCATGCACGCACACGGGCAAACGCACATCCGCACACACACACACACACACACACACACACACACACACACACACACACACCACATGCATTCTTCTTACCAGCTATCATCTTCCCCAGCTTGTTCCACAACCCGCCCAGCTCCCGGGCTGCCTCCTGCGCCATCTCCTCTATACGATTCGCAGTCCTCCCCATCCCCTCCTCGATGTCACTCGCCACTTCCTCTAGGGTTTCTCCCATCTCCTGCATGAGCACGGGCAAATCTATGAAAAAGGAATGATGGGCAGTTTCATTTATGTTTGCGGATGGTAATAATAGGTGTGCGTGCGTGTGTACGAGCGTGCGTGCGTGTTAACAATTTCCACCAATTTGTTTAGTCGCTATTATATTTCCTTTTGTAACGTGTTATGTATTGTTTTTCAATGGTCACATAAATGTAAAGCCACGTGTATTAATACTATGTCTGAAAGATAAGATCCTATAATAATATTCCTACCCTCTTCCACGAACACCACAAAGTCCTCTTCGAAAAAAGGCTTGAAATCATGTTGAAAGAAATGTTCAACCTCTGCAAAAGCAAAAACAATAAATTCTAGGTCAATGTAAACAAATTAATGTCCAGCAAAATTTAGGCAAAATTTAAAATGGTCAATATAATAGATATGCGTATATATGCGTTTGAATTTGAGTGAATTTCTCTACTTCCTGCTATTTCTTTCACGTTATTAATTGTTTGAATATAAAAAGATTCATTCGTAGGCTTCTTTGCTAGTCGATTGTTAGTGTGTAGCGCATTTTCCCGTATGTTTATTTCATATTATATGCAAGTCTCGCACAACGTGCCTTGTATGACGTCAGCTATGTTAGCGCTGGTTTCATCAAGAAACATCTCGAGTTCTTGGTCAAACACAGAGGGTGCTTCTTGATGGTAGAAGCCATCGTCATCGTAGTCGTCGTAGCTATCGCCGTGCGGGAGGAACCCGTACTCTGAATCGTGGACAGAGCCGAAGAAATCTCGGATATCCATTGAGAATAGATCGGGAATGTCTTCGCGGAAGAAGTGTGTGACGTCGTCAGAGAAAAACGTGTGAACATCGTCTGTAAGAGAATACCGAGTCAGGTGGACGATCGGGCATATCACATCTGAACTATCCTGATCCCGAACTTACCCCTAACGTGCTTGCTGTGTGCTCGAGGGTGTGCACCGATGTGCAGTGTGTGCGTGCGTGCGTGTTTGTGTGTGTGTGTGTGTGGGTGTGTGTGTGTGCGTGCGTGCGTGCGTGCGTGCGTGCGTGCGAGCGTGCGCGCGCCTGTGTGTATTTCATTAATTATTTATTTATTTATTTAAAGCTATCTTTCTGTCTGTTAATTTATTCATTCGAGGTTACTCACCCTTAAAGAAGTCAACGAAATCGTGTTGGAACCAGTGCACAGCGTCGTCAACAAACTCTCCCACGGTGTCCTGTAGATCGAGACTGTGGTGTAAGGTGTCACATAGCCACGGCGCGGCTATGCCGTCACACGGATCTGTAACCAATAGGTATACACAGTCGTATATTTTACACGTTCGTATATTTCGTATATTTTACACGTTCGTATATTTTCAGCCACGACATTGCGCGCACATGCTCCCGCAAGCACTCACACTAACCTATCGTCGTTTATAGCGTGTCCGTGTACCAATTACATAAAACTTCCCGTTGACTTTTTAGTTGGCCTTCCCTTAAAACCTTTTCTAACGCCTTCACATTTAGAGAGCCGTTATTGTTTGTCTTTCTCGAAGTCTTTACATGAGCCTCTCGTTAGCCGTCCTGTAATTATCCGCGTCAATCTTTTCTATAACCCAAATAGTAACGCCGTAATGACAGGGAGCGTGTTTTTTTTTTAAATTATACGTTATCGTGTTCTGGATGCGTGCCACGCATGCGCACTAACGCAGTATTCTGCGTATCAGAACTCGCGCGTAATCTTCGCGAGTCGGCGGATGTCGAAGTGCGACGAAGAATATTCTATTGTTGCTCATGTGAATATTTTGCCAAATCTATTACAAATATTTACAGATTCAACGATTGTCACACGCTACGGAAAGTATAGTTCGGCGACGAACCACAAGAGGCGACACGGTCGCTGCATCGCAGTTGAGCGTGTCGCTGGCAGCGGTCCGTCCAGAAGATATCGGGCGAACATTCGCGTCGGTAGTAGCTGCAGAGGTGAGCGACATCTGCCGGATTTCTCGTGCTGCGAATGTCGGCACAGTCCGGCTCATAGCGAGGCAGGTCGTCCAGTGCTGCCACACAGCGGATATGGAGTAAAACGTATTAACCATAGAAACAAAATAATAAACATACTAATTGGTGTAATATCAAGAGCTAATAATGATCATGGCGTCATGATCATGACTTGAAGAAGCGACTTTCCTGGCAGGTAGAGTGGACACACCATACAAGAAACACAAGTTAGGAAGGAAGCCACATTGGTGTAGGTAAGTCAAGGAGAGGAGACGTACGTACCACAGCTGAGTGTTCTGTCGGCACATTGCTCCATCACACACGGCATACACTCCGTCTGCCAGCGTATATAGTTCCTCTGTCTCAGCCCCTCGGTTTCCTACATATATACGCACGCAGGGAAAGTGTTGTGTAAATATCTCAAACACTACGTCGACGATTCAATTCTATTATAGTCGGGAGAGCAAGCGTCTTTAGCAATCACTGATCAGTGGCGGATCCAGGGGGGGGGGCACGGGGGGGGCACAGGGGGCGGTCGCCCCCTAGAATTTTCAGGGCAAGGGTATTTTAGCCTAGCACCCTCTCCTCGGACGCTTCGTGCCCTTGAGCTCACATGATTCGCCCCCTACCATAGAATCCACTTCTGGATCCGCCACTGCTGAGAATATCAGGGGAAGATAATGACAAATGTGTCATTATCTACCCCCGATAATATATTTTACATAGAATCGCTTATATAGTAGTCTGACCTTATATCGCCTTCGTTGTTTCTGGTGTTTCCACAGTAACGAATGCTGTATAATTAATTAATTAATTAATTAATAACCGAAGGCTGTATACAAACCGCATCTGTCATATTCTTGCATCTCTCGCCCTCTGTCTCCATCAGAAACCGCGTATTCTTTAGTTGACGCTTAGCGACTAAGAACATGACTTTTAGAAGCTTTGTACCAGCTTTGGACAACCCTGTAGAACGATAAATATAATTTGCATGTGATCGTTTTACAAACACTTGGTCTTTATAGTATTGTAAAGTTTTGTTATTATCTGACGATATAAAACAATGCTTTATATCGGTAAATTTGACATATTCAATCAAAGCTTGAAATCCGATATGGAAACACTGAATAATATATATATATATATATATAAAGAGAGAGAGAGAGAGAGAGAGAGAGAGAGGAGAGAGAGAGAGAGAGAG